TTGTTGATGTTGAATTTATATCTTTTGCTTTTTCAAATAAATTATGCTACAGTTTCTTTTTTTTTTAATCAGTTCTTTCCTCTTCTAGAAAATTGTACTGATCTTCCACTGTCTTACTCATATCAAAGCTAGATTCCTCAACATGACCTCAAGACTCTCAACAAACTAACCAAGTCTGTTCCTTGACATACTTCCCCATATTTTTTACTCCTTAATTCTAGATGTTCTTGTTTCCACTATTTAATCTGCTTGACTGCACTTCAACTCTTGCAGACCATCTATTCTCTATTGTGTTGTTGTTGTTGTTATGTACCGTCAAGTCGGACCGACCCGTAGCGAACCCTCCTTGGGCTTCTGATGCATTATCACTACAGAAGTGGATTGCCCAACCTCCCTTCCTAGGAGTGGCTGGTGGATTTGAACCACCATCCTTCTGGTTAGCAGTCAAGTGCCTTAGGCACTACACTACCAGAGCTCTATTAGTTTAATGCATTACTCTATTTCTTTTTAAATCACACTTTTAAAATCACAAAGGCTGGAGATAAGAAAAAAAGAAAATAGAAAGGTTCTCTCTTCCACAGAAGTTAACAAATAAAACACATGCTTTTGGATGTTAGAATGATTAAAGCCATCCAGAGAATTTCTGGAATGTCTTTAATTATTTCCATCTTTCATTCCATTTCAAAACCTGTTTTCCCTCTTGTATAGCTCTGTTCTCAAGCCTTTTTTTTTTTTTTTTTTAATAACAAAGCCCAGACTCTTTATATTTTCTAATGGAATTTCTTCAACAAAACAAAGACAAATGCTGGTAGCATTCACTTATTCTCTGTTTTTTGAATCTCTTTCCCTCCCCTCCTTTACTCTTGCTGTTCCTCTTTTTCTCACTTCTCTGCACAACTTGTATTGTTGCAAAGTTGCGTCTTCTCTTCCTTTCCTGCCTTTCTTCCTGCCTATGATCTGGAACTTTCAGATTCAGCCAGAGGCTGAAAATGGGCTCTTCAGGCATATCTTCCTTAGGCTTTGAAGCATTATTCTGGATCAGTGTTTCTCAAACTGTTTTTCCTAGGAAGATGATATTATTAAGATCTATTAAGTGTTATTCTATATGCAGTTTTAGAAATACTGCCCTAAGTCCATGATAACCCTCAACCTGAATCTAAATGAAGAATAATTCATATTCCCTGAATTCTTTGGTTGAAAGTTATATGTGAATGGAATATATTATTTATAACATGCTACTCTGGTAGCATAGTGGCTAAGACACTTGCCTGCTAACCAGACGGCTGGCGGTTCAAACCCACCAGCCACTCCTCGGAAGGAAGGTTGGGCAATCCTAC